AGGGCAGGCAGATATTGGGAGGTGAGCACAGGGCCTCGGGGCCTCGGAGATGGGAGACTAAGGATTGGCTTGTAGCTGAGGGCACCTGGTGGCTCAGGCAGTAAAAGAATCCGCCTGCAATGCAGGAGACCTGGGTTCAATCCCTAGGTCAGGGAAATCCCCTGGAGAAGGCAGTGATAACGCTCTCCAGCATTCTTGCCTGGGAAATCCCAAGGACAGAGGAGCCTGGTGGGCTACAGTCCATGGGGTCACAGAGAGTTGGACCTGACTTAGCAACTTAACACTCAGGGCAGAGGGGAGCCTTTGAGGGTTTTCTTTGGGAACGTAAGTAATTTGCATTTTAATAAGAACACGCCTCCTATTTTTTGGCTTCAGTTAATCCTGCCTCTCCCTCCCTCACTGCTTCTGGCTGGGCTAGAGTTTCAGCTCTCCATGTACCCTCAGGGGAGTGATCCAGGCTGCAGGCCTTCTGCTCTTTGAACTGTAGGCAGCAGGTCTGGCTGATGTCAGACCCTTGGTCATTGATTGTGCTGGGAGATGTTTCGCTTGAGCACTCTTCTTTAATGCATGGCTAGATGAGGTCCTGGCTCTCAATTTTTATCCAGCTTTTGTTATTAGCCACACTTCTTGGATGGGATTAGGTTTTAGACTTTCTTCCTCGTAGGAGGAGGCAGACCCAGAGAACTCGGTCAGCTTTTCCCCTCTCCTTCTTGGAGAGGGCTTCTCCCCGGGCCCAAAGCCAGTGATTCTTGAAGGTCACCGAGACAGAGGGACATCCCGCATCCCTGCCCTGACGGTTCCTGAGAGGGACAGGGAACATGCGGACCTCAGCCAGGCGTCTGCGGCTCCTCCCAGGGGCTGGGCGCCCAGAGGATGTGGGGACAAGAGGGACGGTGGTGCGGGAATGCGGGGTGCCCCCTTCAGCAGGCGTTGGCACTGGGGGACAGGAGGGATGGGTGGTGCAGGTTTGGGACAGGCAGGATGAGGGGGTGCCAGGATTCAGAGATGCACGTGCAGTGTGGGTACCTAGTGAAAAGCAACGACAGTAAAGCAGAGGTCTCTTGTCTCTGATGTGAGAAATTACTTGGGGCTCTAATTTCAACCTGTGGAGGCTGCTTTATTAAAGCTGCTCTGGTTCAGGCTTGACACAGACTTATTCGGGGAGAAAATAAACTCAGGAAGGGGCCTGCCTAAATTTAGCGAACCGTTGGAGCCCATTGGAATGGTCATCTCTGGTCTTATGTAACAGACTTGAGAGGGACGGTTTGAGTGGGAATCGCTTTACGTCTTGGTTGTTGTGTGCAGTCGCTCAGTCGTGTCTGACTCTTTGGGACACCATGGGCTGCAGCACGCCAGGCTTCCCTGTCCTTCACCATCTCCCAGAGCTTGCTCACACTCATTGAGTCGGTGATGCCGTCCAACCATCTCGTCCTCTCCTTTATCCAGTTGCCAGAGGCTTAATGTCCCAGGGTCGCAGAAAAGAGCAAGGGCATATGTGAGTGAGACTAGGAATTGAAGCTTCACTCTTTACTAGGTGATGGTGCGCTCTGAGCCTCAGTTTTCCCATCTGCAGGAATGGGAATGTTACACATCCTCACTAAGAGGACTCAGTCACTAAGACGACTTCACACGATCCCACACTTAGTGGGAGCTCCATGAAAAGTGGTTTGCTGGCTCCCCCGGTGGTTCATACAGTGAAGAATTCACCTGCAATGCAGGAAACCCAGGTTTGAGCCCTGGGTCTGGAAGATCCCTTGGAGGAGGGCATGGCAACTCACTCCAGTGTTCTTGCCTGGAGAATCCCCATGGCCAGAGGAGCCTGGTGGACTGTAGTCCATGGGGTTGCAAAGAGTTGGACAGGACTGAGCGACCAACACTTTTCACCTCAAATGGAGGGGGCTGGGTTTGTGGGGTGGTCATAATTCATACCCAGTGTCTGTCCTTATTCTAAATCAGTTTGAAACAGGAGATACAAGAATCTGACAGGTGTGTTCATAACTGTTGTTATTTTAAAGGTCTGAAAGATTCTGCCACCATGAGAGCCATTTTCCAGCAGTAAATGCGCAAGTTCCCTGTGCCTATAGCATGTGGAAAAAGTGAAAGTCGCTCAGTCGTGTCTGACTCTTTGTGACCCCATAGACTATAGAGTCCAAGGAATTCTCCAGGCCAGAATACTGGAGTGGGTAGCCGTTCCCTTCTCCAGGGGATCTTCCCAACCCAGGGATCGAACCAGGTCTCCCACATTGCAGGAGGATTCTTTACCAGCTGAGCCACAAGGGAAGCCCAGCCTATAGCATACACAGGCGATTTCATGTTTTATTCTGCAAAACTCATCCCACAATGCCCTTTGTTTCCGAGCAGTCCGTCTTTCCTGCATTGAAAAGCCTCTGGCATTTTCGGGGATCCCAGCTCTCCTCCCACTATATCTTGAGAACAAGCCAAGAGATGAGACACAGGAAAGAAGCACCACTCATGCAGAGAAAGCTCACTCCTGCCAACGGATCACGGTGTAGAAACGATGCAGAGCCTGTTCCATCAGAAAGCATCCGGGGCAACACAGCTCAGCAATCCGGGGCACCACCAGGGGTCCCGGGATCAGCAGCTTGCTGGCCAAGGGGCATTTCTAGGGAAGGGCTGGACAGCATCCACCACCTCCAGCAATGTCACCATGCCGCCCTGAAAGTGACCCCCGCTGCTGATGGTCACAGAGGCACTGGGGCCTGCTGCTCGTGGAATATTCACAATGTAGGAACGTCCTGGGACATCCCCCAAAAGACTTCTGTTAAGCACTCTGAGAATGTAAATGAAGTTTTCTTGCTGCTAGAAGTGTCTTACCACTGCTTTGGCAAAAAAAAAAAAAAATCAGCACAGTTGAACTTGCCCAGTTTGTATTGGCTTCACTTCTATTTCCCGTTGCCACTTCTCCCAGATCCCAGCTGGGCTGAAGAACAAATAAAAATAAACAGTTTTCTGCAGCAGAAACACTTGGCTTCCTTTCCCTTCTCCCAGCTGGGCTGCAGCGCGGGGGTCTTCAGAACTCGTGCTTTGCCCTCCGGTTTTGACTCCTGATACCATCATCTCTGCCTTGCCTGGAGGGTCTTGAGATCCGGATAGTTTATTCTTAGGGTCAATTTAGCAGACTCTTGAACCATCTTCTATGGGAATCTGTTACACTGCCCTCTCTCTTTGTCGTTCTGTCATCCTTTCTTACAATATGGAGAGCTGCATTCTAGCACGGAGCCTTCAGATTCTCTGTAGGCTTATTAAGAAAGTGAAGAGTTAAGAGCTGTGGGCAGAAAGCAGAATTGCAGCCGGGAGAGGTCAGTGCTGGGTTTTGAGTTGGTTCCATTCCTTTTGTTTCACTGTATCTCGGGGAAGTTGATGTTCAGCATTAATGTTCTTAAGGTGTGATTGACATACCTTAAAATCCACCCAGTTCATGTAGAAACAATTCAGTGATTTCTGATAAATGTACAGAGCTGTCAGCTTTCACCTGGCTCCCCGGGTGGCTCAGTGGTAAAGAATTCACCTGTCAAGGTAGGAGACATGGGTTTGATCCCTGGCTCAGAAAGATCCCATGAAGAAGGAAATGATGACCCACTCCAGCATTCTTGCCTGGGAAACCCCATGGACGGAGGAGCCTGGGGTCACAAAGAGTCGGACACGACTGCGCATGTACACAAGTGCAGCTTTCACCATACTCCAATTTTAAAACACCTCCGTGATCCCCCAAAGTTCCCTCATGAGCACACGTGGTCACTCCCCATCCCCACCTCGGTCTTGAGCTGCTCAGTCGCTCAGTCCTGTCCTACTCTTTTGCAACTCCCTGGCCTGTAGCCCGCCAGGCTCTTTTGTCCATGAGATTTCCCAGGCAAGAATACTGGAGTGGGTTGCCATTTCCTCCTCCAGGAGATCTTCCCGCCCCAGGGATAGAACCCATGTCTCCCTTGTCTCCTGCAATGCAGGCAGATTCTTACCACCGAGTCAATGGGAACCACTGGCTTACTTTCTGTCCCTATAAACTTGCCTTTGTCTGGAGATTTCATATGAATGGAATCATGCCGTATGTGTTCTTGTGTCTGGCTTCCTTCACTGAGCGTAATGTTTTTGAGGTTTATCCATGGTGCAGCAGTTGGCCTTCTGTATCTGTGGGTTCCACATGCGTGGATTCAACCAACCACAAAACTGAACTTATTTGAAAAAAAGTTCCTGAAAATTCCAAAAAGCAAAATTTGAATTTACTCCACATTGACAAACTATTTACTATAATACATTTACATTGTATTTATGACTGTTTACATTGTATTAAGTATTATCAGTAACCTAGAGATGATTTAAAGTATATGATAGGATATTGGGTGGGTTACATGCAAATCAGATGCCATTTTATATGAGGGAATTGAGCGCCTGTGTATTTTGGTATCCAAGGTGGGTCCTGGAACCAAACCAAGAGGATCCCAACGATTGGACTCCATTCCTTGCTGTTGCTAAATATTATTCTATTAGATAGATACACCATATCGCTAAGTCTTGCCTGGCTCATTTGCAACCCCATGGACTATAGCCCACCAGGCTCCTCTGTCCATGCGATTTCCCAGGCAAGAATACTGGAGTGGGTTGCCATTTCCTTTTCCAGGGGATCCTCCCGAAGGCAGGGATCAAACCTGCAGCTCTTACATTACATTCTTTACCACTGAACCACCAGGGAAGCCAACTAAATATTATTCTATGGGATAGACATACCATATCTTCTTTATTTGTTCTCCATGGTGTTTTTTTTTTTTTTTTAATACTACAAGATAGATCTAAGGGGTAACCTTTCTGGGACATTTGATGATCACGTGGGTACCATTGGTGTATCTGTGTGAGTGTGTTGGACAAGCAGAGTGAATGATATATGTACTGATTTGAAAATTGATCTTTTTAAATCTTATCTACAGGACATTTTAAAGATCTGTTAAGTGTCCAAAGTATCTAAAGTATCTCTTTTTGGTTTTCAGTTCCCAAGAATATACTCACAGCAATTGATCCATCAGTTGCTAATCTAAAACCTTCTGTGAAGCAGAAAGACGGTGACTATGGTAATGTTTATGACTTACTACCAAGATTTCTCGTTAAGGTGCACAGCCCCACGTGACCACAGGTGGATGCACACTGGTTAGGACACAGAGAGCCCTCATAGTGTGCACTGCCAGCTCTGAGAACGGCAGAGCTGTGGCAGATGGTTACTCATGGTGGCCAACCTGGGGTGTTTTGAATTATAAGTAGGGTAAATCCTCCTTCTGTTCCCCTTTATTTCCTAAAGGAAAAAAATCACCTTGAAAAAGGAGATCTGCTCAGAAATAAATCTGGGGTTCCTGGATTATCTGATGGGCTTGTTGGAAAGACGATCCCTTTTGGGAATCTGAAGGGTCAGACCCAGGCTGGACCTGCAGACCTCCATGTATATATGCCCTTCTGCCTCAGGTTTTCCCTGGGCTTTGGTAAATAAGGGAATGAACATTTTGGGTTTGTCTTTAAAATCAAATCTAGAATGGAATTGAGACTCTTGGGGGCTCCTAGTAGAAACTACAGAGGCCCCCAAGACAGTCTGTGTAAGATGTTGTACTTTGTGGGTTGAGAGTTTTTCTTGTGTTACTTGAATTCCATTTATGAAGTCTTTTCCCTCTAAGTATAAAAGTAAAATATGCTTGATATGGAACATACAGGAAAATATCAAGTAAATAGAACTCCTCCCTAGTCTCAAAGCCTGGGATGATTGTTGTTAATATTCTAGCTCTGCCCCTCCAGCTCTCCACCAGTCCCTGCCTCTCCCATCCTCTCTGCCCTTTCTAACAGGGCTCCTACCAGGTTCCCATCAATATCCTGGTCCCCCTGCAGTAGAGGCCTGAAAGCCCCATCTGACATCCCCAGGGTCCCCAGAGGCCATAAGCTACTATCTGCTACAATGCTCTTTCTGGCTTAGTCGTCCCTAATTTTGTCAAAGGCCCACTTATTGGATTTCTGTGGCTTTTTATTTATGATGGCAGTCCTGGTTTAGGAACAAAATGCAAACTGGGAACAGCTGTGATTAATCAGCCTTGCTTTTTTTTGTTTGTTTGTTTGTTTTTAATGAAACAGGTGTAGGCCTTGACCCAAGGGAACCGAGGATTCTGAGGAAAGATGGCGTGATTGTCAGCCACTCGTTGGCAGCATTTGCTTACATTAGAGGTAGGTAATTGAAAACTTCCTAGATGGGTTTACTGAATTCTTATTCACAAATGTTCTGTTTAATTGTAACACTTGGATGGCTAAAGAAAGCGGGGAACTTCCATGCTGGTCCAGTGGCTAAGACTCTGCATTCCCAGTGCAGGGGCCCTGTTGGATTCTTGGTCAGGAAACTAGATCCCACATACTGCAACAGCCCTCAAATAAGACCCAGCATAGCCAAATAAAATATTAAAGAAAAGAGACTTTAAATTTGACACAGCAACTGCAGTCTTCTACAGTCCAGAAGCACAGAGATCTGAATTTAGGTACTGGTCCACTGGCGATCAACAAGAGAACCACAAACACTTAAGTCACACTCTCCAGCATCTGGTCTCCAGGGGAATTTTCCGCTTTGCAAAGTAGGAAGCTGAGGAATGCATTTTCCGGCTTGAAAACTTGGGAAGGGCACAGGATTATTGAATTCCACCCTTGGCTGGAAGAACATTGAGCCAAAAGATGACTTACTGAACAGAACAGGTCGTGGTCTGTGGAGGCAGAGACCCTTTCTGAGTCACCAGCATTACTGCTCGCGGTTGCCAAGGCTTCCCTGGATAATCTTCCCCTCAAGGATCAATCAGACTCCATCCTCCTTAATTAGCGGAGCCGGAATGGCTCATCTGCAAGGGCATGGTGCACGCTGTCTTTCCTCGTCAGCCTCTCTGCTTACCTCTGGATGGACCATATTTTGGAATGTTGACTCTGCAAGTTTCGGCAATGCCTGCCTGACTCTGTTCAGGGAGCCAAAATTTCTGAGAACTTTTGTAAAATACATGGTAACAGAACACATTATGGCATGACTTATTCGAGCCCTTGCCAGAGCTGGGGCTATTTGGAGTAAGCCTTCCGTAGAAGATAATAAAGGCTTGAGGAAACACCTCAACCCAGGAACTGGAGTAATCTTGGGACCTTCTTACCACTATTCTCGTTGTGTGGTGGTTGTGTGGTTGTTGAGAGTCCTCTCCTTTCTAACCACCATCCCATTTCTGTTCCTGATAATTGTCAAACTTAAGAGATATAAGGGATTTTATTGTTGGAAATATCTCATATTTTCAGAGTCCTTTGAGAGCCCCTTGGTGGAAAGGCAATATGAAAATCCTTTGCAGAGAGGCATGACGACTAGGCTGCTTATGTGCTGGGGCCACTCTGGGCCATACTATTCTCAACAACTGTCTTGTTCAGCTCAGGCGGCCTTAACGAGAGACCGTGGACCGGGTGGCTTAAACGACAGAAATGTATTTTCTTCCTGGCTTGAAGGCCATGATCAAGGTTCCAGCAGGCCTGGTGCCTAGTGAGGGCTGTCTTCATGGCTTGTAGACAACCTTTCCCTGTGTCCTCACACAGCAGGGAGGGAAAGGGAGAAAGAAGACCCTAGGTGTCTCTTTTTTTTTTAACTGAACTATAGCTGATTTAATGTCTTGTGTTAATTTCTGCTGTAATCAAAGTGATTTAGTCATCAGTTCAGTTCAGTTATACATATATTAATATACACATTCATTCTTTTTTCATGTTCATTTCCATTATGGTTTATCACAGTCTATTTAATGTAGTTCCCTGTGCTATACACTAGGATTTTGTTGTTTACTCATCTTATATATGATCGTTCGCATTTGCTAATCCCAAACTCCCAGTCCAACCTTCCCCCACCCATACCCTCACCCCTGGTAACCACAGGCCCATTCTCTATGTCTGTGAGTCTGTTCCGTAGATAAGTTCATTTGTGTCATATTTTAGATTCCATTTAGTGTCTCTTCTTATAAGGACACTAATCCTGTTGGATCAGGGCCCCACCCGTATGACCCCATTGAAACTTAATTATCTCCTTATAGGTTCTGTCTCCAGATATATTCACATTGGGGGTTAAGGCTTCAGTGCATGAGTTTCAGAGGTTACAATGCATAGTAGTGACCCTAACAAAGGGACTCATCCCCTCTCCTGCACACAAGGAAGCTGAGATCAGAGGACTGAGCCGTGTTCCTGAGGACACTGCATGGCCAGCAGCAGAGCAGGATCTGACTCAACAGATACAAAACCTGCCCTCCAGCTTCTCCAAGAGAGACGTGTGCCCTTCAGAATTTTGAAGGATGGAAACCTAATATCCTCGAGAGATCTGAATTAGCTTCTCTCCATCCCTATCTATCCTCTTGCACACTCATAACTCCAAGAAGTCATTGCTGTTGTTGTTGTTCAGTCGCTAAGTCGTGTCCAGCTCTTTGTGACCCCATGGACTGCAGCACGCCAGGCTTCCCTGTCCTTTGCTATCTCCTATGTCTGTGAGTCTGTTCCGTAGATAAGTTCATTTGTGTCATATTTTAGATTCCATTTAGTGTCTCTTCTTATAAGGACACTAATCCTGTTGGATCAGGGCCCCACCCGTATGACCCCATTGAAACTTAATTATCTCCTTATAGGTTCTGTCTCCAGATATATATTCACATTGGGGGTTAAGGCTTTAGTGCATGAGTTTCAGAGGTTACAATGCGTAGTAGTGACCCTGACAAAGGGACTCATCCCCTCTCCTGCACACAAGGAAGCTGAGATCAGAGGACTGAGCCATGTTCCTGAGGACACAGCATGGCCAGCAGCAGAGCAGGATCTGACTCAACAGATACAAACCCTGCGCTCCAGCTTCTCCAAGAGAGACGTGTGCCCTTCAGAATGTTGAAGGATGGAAACCTAATATCCTCAAGAGATCTGAATTAGCTTCTCTCCATCCCTATCTATCCTTTTGCACACTCATAACTCCAAGAAGTCATTGCTGTTGTTGTTCAGTCGCTAAGTCATGTCCAGCTCTTCGCGACCCCATGGACTGCAGCACGCCGGGCTTCCCTGTCCTTTGCTATCACCCGGAGTTTGCTCAAACTCATGTCCATTGAGTCAGTGATGTTATCTAACCATCTCATCCTCTGCTGCCCCCTTCTCCTTCTGCCCTTGATCTTTCAAAGTATCAGGGTCTTTTCCAGTGAGTCAGCTCTTTGCATCAGATGGCCAGAGTGTCGGAGCTTCAGCTTCAGCATCAGCATCAGAAGTCATTGGAGAGATTTACTTATTAGGCACCCATCTCTCCACTAGACATTAAGGTTTCAACTGCAGATGTTTGTCATCCCAGTCATTGCCATATCCTAGTGGCTGAGACAGAGCTGGCACCGAGTAGATGCACAGTTAATGGTTAATTAGTGAGCAGATGATGAGTCCTCCTCTGGTCTCATGAGCTATCCCGTACCTTATCATCACCCTGTATTTGCTGTTTGTAGGTATCCAATTTCTAAGGACGGTACAGACTCGGTGGTTATTGGGTTTTACCGAAGGATGTTTGGGCATGCTCTGAGGCCAAGCCAAAATTTCATGTCAAAGAGAAAGAGACTCTAAATGTCTTGTGTCGGGCGTTAATGAAACGGAGTTGCTACTAGAAGTTCATTCGTCAAATCACAGAGGCTCACAAAGTCTTAGGGGGACGGGTCCTCTGCCCTTGCCTGTGAATTTCCTGGGTGTGTTACTATCTGGGTTTGTTACTCTTCTGAATGGTCCCCAGCTCACAGCATCCTCCTCACTGGTTAGGCCAGCACATTGCAGTGAAGGGCAGGACCTTAGGCTGAGCCATTTCAACACAAGCATCGCATGATGAGAGTATCACCTTCATCATCACTAGAAAGCGGTGCCCCAGCCAGCTCTCAATGGCATCTTCATCCTTGATGTAGGGGTGTGATCTGAAGGCTGGACCAGGCTCCCTGGGCACCCACTAAGAGGAGGAGGCCCTCTTAGGGGAGAGGTCCCAACAGAAGCTACCAAGAGTGAGCTCGGAAGATTCTGGCAAAATCACGAAATAGACAATGGACTGAGCAAATCAAAAGGACATGTCCTCAGGTCAGGCTACAGGTAGCTTTGTCACATTAGTGCCGCCAGGTGCACATGAGGGACCAACAGGCTAGAACCCAGAATCAAGGGGCTTATCCCGGGATGTGGAGACACAGAGGCTGGTGGAACAGACACAGAAACACCCAAGGGTTCCTGATGAACGATTTCTCTTTGAGCCATTTAAGTGGTTTGTGAGACATCTTCATAGGAATGTTTGAATTTGTGTGTGCTCAGGCGCTCAGTCATGTCCGACTCTTTGTGACCCCATGGACTATACTAGGTTCCTCTATCCATGGAACTTTCCAGGCAAGAATACTGGAGTGGGTTGCCATTCCCTTCTCCAGGGGCTCTTCCTGACCCAAGGATTGAACCCACGTCTCCTGTGTCTCCTGCATTGGCAGGCAAATTCTTTACCACAGTGCACTGGGGAAGCCCACATTTGAATTTACCCTCTTCTCAATGATATAGACATATTTATTGAATTCATTCTAGAATTCAGATCATGGGTCTGAAGAAGCTCATAGAAAATTTTCGAAGTTAGGGAAATGGAAAGGGATGGATGTGTGTGTGTCTGTGTGAGTGTATGTGTGTGTGTCTCTGTGTGAGTGTGTGTGGGTATGAGTGTGTGTGTGTGTGTATGTGTGTGTTGGAGATTTGGGGAAGTGACTTTGTTAGCTGGCTCAGCTGAAGATTGTGTCAAAGGATATTTATTTAGTCTTGCTCAGAGCTTGATGTCTTCTATTCCATCTAGTGAGCATTTTATTAATATTTCCTGCCCTTCGTGGCCTAGTATTTCTGACCCTGCTTTGGACTTGGGCCTGTGTGTGTCCCTGGCCTCTGGCAGAGCTCACTGTGGACTTCCGGGGTGCATGGAGGTAAGCGGGGCCATGGGTGAGAACGCAGTATTTCTCCTGCATTGGGAGGGCGTCATTGTTTCATGTGAAAGGAGCTCCAGGATATCAGACAGACCCACAATGAAACAGAAGTATCATAACACATTCCGAAGTTGGAGTTACATGATCCCCTGTCAGGGAGAAGGATGGGAAATCAGCATCGGCTTGTCATGGAGGTGTGGGTTCTGAAGTGTTCCCACGGCCTCTAATCTTTGG